GGGGTCGATTTTGTTTTATTAACCACTAATTATTTATTTACGTCTATGAACCGAAATTCTGACAGACTTTTTTAATACACTGGGTATGAGCGAATCCAGTGAAAAGTCTACCGCATAAAAAAAAAATAAATTAAAAGCCCTATATCTAACTTATTTATAGGCCGATTTGGCTGCTTTAATATAATATATACTGATTATGTAAGCAGTAATATTTTTGCCAAAAATGGTCTCGTTAGGTGGCGCTCTGGTTTGCTTCATATTTGGCATTTTTAGTTGAAACGTAGTAGAACATAGATTTGCAAAAAATGAAATTGCTGGTGGCGCCGATGTCAAAATAAAAAGTACGTTCGACATACAGTGCATGTTTTCTTCCTGTTAAAAATTTGTTCAAGAACAATTTTAACAAAACTTTTCCAATGGAAATTTTAGTAACGAAACGTCAGGTAAGCAAAAAGCTTTTACATTTCAAAACTTGAAAAATTAACCTTAAACATTTCGAGTACAACTACAAAAGCTTTTATACAAACAGTCTTGCCCTATTCGCAGAGTTTTGCAATTTTGTAATTGAAGTCAAAATCCACTTCTGTTTTTGTGTAACGTCACGCCAGCGCGTAACTTGACTAATATCTCTAAATCGCTACTTCCAACATTTGTAATTTTTTTTTACTGAATAAGGGGCCATTAATTGCTATGTAAATCTTGAAAAACCCTTTAAAAATTTTGACTTTTTCAATTATTATTTTTTTAACATTTTGTCATACGTACGTCACGTAACGGCAGTTTGGAAATACCCAAGCACTGCAAGACATTTTTTTTTCAACTTGACAACCTAATTAAGGGTTAACTGTCTTTTATTTTTTTAGAATTCCCAGCAAAAAAAAAGCACGTAAAATCATTCGAACTCGAAGGATATACACTCCCAATTGTTGTTTCCAATGAGATTTTCAGAGCTTGCTGGTTATTTGTGATGCCTCATAGCACCTTACTCCGATAGCATTAGCGCGTTTTGCGCCATTTTGATGCACTTTCGTGGGAATGAAAAACAGTTACCAATGTATACATAGTTGTATCAGTTAATCCATCTTGATACCCTGATGAATTTACCAATATCACCTATAATAGATCCTGATATATCAGCTAGTTTTTTTTTTTTTGTATGTGTCTTCCGAGTATTTTATTCCTAGCAGCCGTTAGACCTAGACATTCAGATACGAAATGCTGGACACATTATTCGGTAACATTTAGTTGACAGATGCGGCAAGTTCTATTATATGGGAGCCCCATTCTCTCTGCATGCTTGCTTATGGTCCAGTGGCCTTTAATGTTTGCTAAAATTCTAAATACTTCTGCCCTAGATATTTAAGCAGGTCTAGGGTCTTCGTCCTGTTGCAGGCAGGCCAGAGTTCCCAGGCTATTTTTTTCTCTTTGAACGACTCCTGCCTTCGCCCATTCATCGGCCTTCTCATTTCCTTCAATACCATTGAGCATATTTCCGTTTTTAACTTCAGTACTAGCTAGGATTTGGTAATAGGCGATGCTAGGCTAACAAAGCCGCTTGGCTGTCGCAGTATATTGTCGCTTTCTTTATTCTACCCATGCCTTTTCTTAGAACCTAACAAGCTTCAAGGACGCCTAAGACTTCCGCTTGAAGAGTGCTTGCATCATTCCATAGACGAAGAGACAAGGAGGCGCCGAGTTCCTGAGAGTACAGACGTACTCCACCTCAATCCATCTTTTAGCTGCCGCTTTATCGGCCACCCTGCCTCCCCTCCACTTTCTTCTGAATGGGACTCTCACTTGTATAGTCAGTATTTAGTCTTGATTATATTTCCATAATAATATTTTTATGTCTGAATTGGCCGAGGAACTTCTTCATTTCAAAGTTTGTTTTTGGCACCCAATTTTTTGTCGCGAATATCTGGTAAGAGTGTGTTGATTTTAATATGCTTGCACTTATTTATTTTTTTCTGTGACAATTAAATCAATAACCTTGTTGTCAGCGAATTCAAAAATTGTGTCCAAACCAGAATTATCGGTTGGATTATTTTGTTGCAAGCCTCATCGCCTAGTGAATGTTAGAAAATTAGTTCTTGAAATGCTCGGTAGTCAATATATGCTTCCTTCAAACCACTTTATAACAACAAAAAAAAAAAAAACTTGCTTGGGCTCCGGTGAAGGTTTTCGTCAAATCCGCTTGGCACAAAATCGAATTTTTTTATGCAGAGTTAAAATTTGCTATTGCCTTTTTGTCTTAGCTTATGTAAAAATTAGTAAGTGTATTCAACCTTTAATAATATTTTTATATTATTATTACTTACATGTGTATGTGAGAATGTTGTGAGGAGGTAAGAGCAAAAAACCATTTTCCTTAACGACTTACAAAACCCGGCATATCTTTTGTTCTTCGACTACTATCTTAAGAAAGAGTTTATTCGTATTTCGAACGGTAGTCAGACAATTACGGTCAGTTTCACGAAAGGAATTTTTCTGTCAGTTTCCATATTAAATTCATAAATTCATATTAAAAAAAAAAAAACTTTTTTACTTAACCAGCTTTCGTGAAACTGGCTATTAGAGTTTGAAATATGAATTGATTAAAATTCTAGGATCTTTTAACATGCGTATTTAATATTAAAAGAAAATTATTTAAATTTTAAAAGTTCAAAACTTTGTTCATAAAAATACATTTACATAAATTATTATTTGAAAATTCTTTGTTTTCAGTATCCCTATTATATGCATATGCATATTATTATCTGTTTTTAAATCTTTTTCCTATAACTGAACAAAAACACATGAAACGTAGTCAAAAGAATATTCTATACAGCTCTGAGAAGGAACTCGAGCAGTCAACGCCTTACTGAGGATCAACTCACCTGGTTCAATTAAATATTACATCTTCTGGGACCTTAGACAATTGCTCTGAGTGGCTCATAGCCTTCGAAAAAACCAGGCTTCGAAGGGTCAATAGGAGACGAGAATAAGTTTGAAGGGGCAACAACTAATAAAGGAGCTACCTAGCGTCTCAAAGCGAAGCAGACTCACCAGCTGATCACTTAAAGAGCTAGAAAATATGGCCAAGTAACCGAAGCCGCTCCCAATTAAATTACGTTAATGGCGGCAGATACAGTACCGAGAGCGGGGGATGATGAGCCCAGCTTTTCGAAGCAGATGTACTATTTCTCGTGAAAAGTAGTATCCCATAAATTAGAGGTGCAGAAAGTACATGGCGAATTAAATCTCTGTTTCGTCTCTGGAACATCTATAAAAATCACATGGTTCTAAACTAGTCCTATCTCAGATCCTTTTCACGGAAGCAATTTTTAAATCATTTTTTTTTATAAAAATTTGTGTTTTTTTTTATTAATTAAAGTATTGTTAGTTTCACAAAAATATAGGTTAGATGACCGCCTCCGTGAGTGGAGGCACACTTAGACAATGATGAGGCTCTCCACTTTGGTGCCCTTTATAGGAGGAAGGGAAAAGAGTCACAGGAAAGTAGGAAGAAAGAGGATGACAAATGGTGGAGAGGGAGGGGAAAGAAGAGAGCGTTGGAAACTTTGTTAAGTGACTAAGCCTAAGATTCGCAAAAGCTGGACACCAGAACAGCACGTGCTGAGATGATCCCACCTAACCGTCCAACAATGCGGCTGGTGCAATAGGGGTCATCGATGATATTAAACCTTACCTTACATCTGTCCACGAATAGACCACATGAGGTCAGGTGAGCACCCAAATCAGCACTGACCAGGAGCAGTTTCTCAAGGGTTTCCTGTTTTGCCAACTCGTCGGCCTTGCGATTGCCAGCAATTTCACAGCGATCTGGCACCTAAATACTTTTAATAGCATAATAATCCCTTATGGTCGATAGGGAGGTCAAGAAACACACCATAACAGGACCCTGATTCAATATACTACACTCCTCCTGGTCATCCCTCGCTGGGATATCCTTCCGGACCCAAACTTGTCGGTCGTGGTCTGTTCGAGTTGGTAGGCACTCGAAGTAATTTATTAGTGCCCCATTGATTCCAATTAAGGCCGCTCTTTGCACTCCTATACGACGAGTACCCTATAAAATAAAATTGGCTGACTATAGTTTCATAAGGCCAATGAACTATTTTCGGTGAGAGACCCCAGCGCTTAGCAACGGCAATCCTAAAGCATAATAATGTTACTGTTGCATTCTTGAATTTTTCCTCTACGATGGGTTTCCGGGAAAGCTTGCTATCAAGTATCAATCCCAAGTACTTCACCCTGTCAGAAAGCCGTAAGTCTTCCACTACGCCTATTGAGGGTAGACGGGAAGTCTGTACCTTATACCTCGTAATAAAAATAAAAAGCTCCGTTTTGCTACGGTTCACAACCAGCCTGCTGCATGAATCAAAAGAGTGTTTCTAGAAACACTGTTAGCAGTGCTAAAACGTCAGCATAGGCAACCACCTGGCAGCCACTACGCTCCAGAGCCACCAACAACCGTAAAGGTCAGCTCCGACCCCTAGCTAATTTAGAGGGTTTATGATAGCCTCGGGCAAGACATTATTAAAAGCCCCCTCGATATCAGGGAAGGAGGCACAAACGCGCATTCCTTCTGCGAAAAGGACTGTTCAATACCGTCAGCGGCCGCTTGAACGTATCTGCCTTTACAGTAGGCTTGCTGATTTAAGGAAAGACGCTGCCTGAGAATCCCGCTACTTCGGTGCAGATCAATCAGTCCCTCCAGCGTCTTTAAAAGAAACGGCCTCAAGCTCAAAAAAAAATTTTTACTATTAATTTGTTTGAATAATTTCAGTTTTAATTTGCCATATAAAATTTTTTATAAAAGAAAATATATTCGTTTATATGTAATTTAAATTTTTTCATTTAAATTTTAAAACATGTGTGTTGATTTAAATTTTAAAAATCCTCAATTGTACAAAATATCTCCTTAAATCGCTCTAAATGCCCTCTTTGCATACAACAACCTCTGCACTCTCTTCTGCTTTTCACTTGTTTCATTGCAGACATTCCGCAAACAACGACAGTGACCACAATAGCACCAACTGTGGCGCTCAATACCGTACCGGTGGTGATTGTTAAATACAACAACAAAGGTGCGTATAACTGCCACACGCTATGCATGCTAACATACATACATCCATACATACCTATGTCTATGTATACATATTTCCAAATTTAAATATGCAGCATGTTTGCTCTCCTATTTACTTTAAGTTGAATTTAATTCGCCCCTCATCACCCCTTCTTCAACAACCATTTATGCATGCTCTACTCCTCACAACAAGTCAAACATACATAGCAGCGTCACATTCAGCTTCCCCCTTTTGTATAAAGCGAACCAGAATGGCCTGTTGTTGTGCATACTATATAGCATTACAAAGTGTATAAAAGTCCTTATGCTTCACTTAACAGCCATCCTTTCACTGCCTGTCGTCCTTAACTTACCTTACCAATCCCCTCAACAACTTAATGCATCCACTTGTCTCATTTATTATTCCATTGCAACGCTTTTATGTACATCTCTTATGTTGTTGCAATGGTTATTGTTGGCGGGGGTACGCTTGATTGGCATCAGAGAGGCACTATAGAAATGCATGAGCAGTGTAGAGAGATGAAGAGCGCGTTAAAGTTTGAGTAGAAGAGACAGCACTTATGTATGTGTACCGAGCAAAAGTACCACAACCCACTTATGTATGTCGCTTTTATGATCAATTTGCCACATAGTTGACTTATTACTTATATTTATATATTTATTTGATTTCTTTGCAACACAACAACAATGGCAACGTTTTATAACTGGATGTTTTTGACGACAACAACTACAACAACAATTATGGATGCTTGCCTCAACAAAGTAGATCAACGTTTCAATAAAAAAGTTCATCGCACAAAATCGAATGCAGCAGATACGCCATCATCGTCGGTGAATAATGTCTTTGTTGGTGCCACATCGAGCTTATGGAATTCACAGGACCATGGCGCGGGGAGGGAGCATCATCAATGTGAGTATCGTAGGGAATGTGGCATTTTCTAGAGCAGATGCCGATTGAAGTTTTACCTCTAACAAAATTAGCACTATAAAACAGGGATGGAAAACAAGGTTTTTGGGTCTACCAAAACCTGCAGAAATATAAAATTTCATTCCTGAATCTTACTGCAGTTTATAACCATTTTTAGTCTATAACAAAAATAAAGCCTCTGAAGATCGCAACCGTCATCAGTAAATGGTTCCAAAATTACCATTTTGATGTGTTCTGGCCTGTTTCCTCAGAAATTTCCGTTGCGATCAGATTACTGCAGCGTTTTCCATGCTGAGATATTAGCAATTCATGGTGCGGCAAAGCCGGTAAGCAAGCTCTACAAAAACTCGCTTTCGCCGTGGATAATCAAGTTGCTATCAAGTCCCTTTTGAGTTGGTAATTACTAATGCAATATGCGTACAGGAATGCCGAAGATAGTGGATCGCTAGTGTATCGCGAGACACAGCGACATTCAGGGAAATAAAGAATTAGACAAATGCGCCAAAAGAAGATCGGATATAGAATTATGGGCAGCCGCTCATAAGCATATAATCGCCTTACGAATCCTGCTGCCATCAGTTGAGGAGAGGGCCACGCGACGATTTCTAGGACTATCAAAAACGAACGTTCCGACGCTCAAGGAAATACTAATGAGTCACTGGATCATTGGTCATATGTCCGCTAGGTTCGGAGTCTGGCATAACGATTGCTTTAGAAGCTGTAGATATGAGGTGGAGATAGCGTAAGTCCAGCACTTCCTATGCGAGTACCTTGCTTTTCGGAGAAAGCGTTTTAGATGTATGTGATACAATTTCTTCTAACACGAAGAAAGTTTGGCGAAAACGTCATGAAATGTTCTACTAGGAGACATGGTGCTTAATGGTATCCGAATGTATTCTCTAACCAGATCTAGCTGCCTTAACTAGCCTACGTAACCTCTGTGATAACACTATGATGTCCAGAACTCGCAAGATTTCTGTTAAGACTTCAACGTTCGTTTAACTGACGGATCCGTGACGATATTGAGCCGCACCACGTGGGTCGCTAAAGGATAATGTGGAGTCGATAGCTGGCGATTGGCCAGCTGTAGAAGTTCCCTTGACCGAACGCGTTCAATAACCGGCCCGAAGGATCGTGTAACTTTGTATGTGAGCGTTTTCGCCCAACGCTCGCTCAGCTGATTGTGAGCCCATCTGTCCAGGGGCAGGCCGCAGGTTGCCAACGGAATTTCTATGCTCTCCCTGTCAAGTGGGATGGCCTCGAAGGTGCCCGGCCTAGCCAATTCATTAGTCCTGCAATTTCCAGTAATTGAACTGAGCCCTGGGACCAAAATCAGTTCAATTAGGAAGTATTCCGAGGCAGTTGAGATAGAAGTCAGGCATTCCTCGACCAGTTTTTATCATACCATTAGCGAACTCAGCGCCTGGCTGTCAGCGTAGATATTCACCTTCCTATTAGTCGGCAATACGTTGGTGCCTAGCCAATCGGCTGCCTCTTTTATAGCGACCGCCTCGGCCTGAAAGATGTTGAAGAGATCTGTCTGCGAATAACATTTAGTAAGATTTCCTTATAGTAGACACCTCCTCCCACCGCCCAGATTCGATCCGACCTCTACTCCAGATACAAAGTCATTGCTGGGAGAGTTTTTAATATTAAACCTATTTAAAAAACAATGACGTCAAAATAAAGGTAATTAGTGGACGTTGTTAAGTTCACCAAGTTCGGAAGAAATTGATAGATCGGTTACCGAGATACACCTTTGTGGTCACAATTGGGCGTTGCCACACCCATTATCCAAAAGCTATAATGTTCCAATTTTCTGCTAAGTAGTTATGGCAATCATCGATTTTAAATGAATTAGCTCCAGTAGTTACCTATTTATCGCAGTTTTCGTGTTTCTGAAAATTAGCGTTATATGGCAGGTGGGCGTGGTTATTTCTCGATTTCAAAGATTTTCAACACATTTCTTAGTTAGACCCTACTAAAGGCTCTTACCGAGTTTAATAAGGATTGGTGGAGAGGCTACCGAGATACAGCATTTCATCATAAAGGGGCGAGATCACGCCCATTTTCCAAAAATTTCATAATACTATTATTTTTTACCACAATTCTACTTCACGTACTGATTTTCAACAATTTGCATTGAATATTTTCTGAAATATCGTAGTATTTGCATTTTTAGAAAATACCGTTATATGGGAAGTGGGCGTGGCTACAGTCCGATTTCGCCCATTTTCAGTACCCACCTACCCTAGATAAAGGGCAAACCACGTACAAAATTATGCGAACAAAGTTAATATACCCTTGTGCACAAGTGCGCTCGGGAATGAAAATATAAAAGTTTAACTTTGACCTTTGCTTTTGGTTTGTGTAAAATAATCTTGATGTGATTGAAATAAGCATGACAAGTTCCACATTTTTTTTTTTCTTTTTTTTCTTTTGTATGTCTAAACGGTTAGTATTCTACACAACGACTACTTCGGACTATTTCTGTCTAAATACCGCAGTACGGTATTGGGCTAAATGTGAGTATGAAAACGTAAACAAACAAATGTCAAATTAAACTCTTGAGGTTCGTAAATACCCCAATGACTTGTTCATAGCAGTCGTTCATAAACACAAAACGTTAAATTCGAGTTTATGGCTTACCGTGAACCTTGTATCGGTGTATCGGTACTATTGCATTGTGCTGGTAAAATCCAAAAAATTTTCTTAAACTTAATTAAAAAATCCCTTCAAATTAGAAACCCACATACCTTGAAAAATGGACCATTTGACGTAACTACTTTAAAATTACTTTAGTAACTATAAACCTATAACTTTAAATTAAAAATTGTTTTTATCTTCTTTTAAATAAAGATAAACATTCAATTTTCATTTTTTTTTCTTATTCTAGTAACTGAATATACACACATGTTTGCCGATTGGGACATGGTATAAAATGTACTTCACTTCAACGATATTCTCACCATAAATATTAATTTTAAAGAGGAAGGCCGGAGTCAAATTAAAACAACTATTCCGTTTAAAATTGTTTTCTTTTATGAAATATGTAGTAGTGCTATGTTTGGTTGAATTTTTTTGGCTTCGATTTTTTTATTATTGGCCTACTACAGCAACCACTGTGCACTCTAGAGAAATTTTTGCAATTCGGTCGACTGGACTCAAATCCTGACAGCTCTATAAAACTTTCACACAGCCACGTACTTATGGACCTAAAAATCGTGTACCGTAGGTCGTAGTCGTGTAGGCAACTACTTAAGAAACGATACAGCTTCATAACTAAGATGAAGGAAGAAAAAGCTATAACGGCACAGAAGGCATTCAACACGTATTGGTCCTTGATCTCATGCTATGGAAAGTAATGTAAGATGCCTGAAACTTGATTTACCTGTTCTGTCACAGCAACTTCTCAACTTGTATGTATGTATGTACATAAGTTTCATATCAACAAGTCTGATTCTTGCAAATGCGCTTTTTTTAAAATTCATGCAATGCTTCGGAATTTTCGCAAAACTCTTTGCTAGATTAAATTAAATGCCCAGAAGGATTTAAGAAAATATCGAAGAAAATTTGTGAAAGAAAGTATGGATGATGCAAAAAAGACAAAATAACATATGCAATAAAAGTTGGATGGGAAAAAATGAAACAAAATACATAGAAGTAAGCAACGTCGACAGCTAGAAAAGTGCAGTAAGTGCAGCGAGGAAATAAAGAAATTGAAAATAAATAATCGAAAGCATAGTGCTCCTCACAAGTTTTCATATTCAAAATTCTTTACACAAGCAGCTTGAATCGAATATTGGCATTGTGTGGCTGTAGATCTTTGTGCGCCGGCTTGAATTGGCAGAAGGATAATGCAACAACGTCACACAGCTGCGCTAGAAGACACTCATAGTTTTGTCATCAGCTCGGCAATCAGCTGTGGCAGGACGACGTAAGCGGCTCGAGGCGGAAGCAGGCTATAAAGAGCCTTAGTGGCAGTCGCTAGACAGAACCATGTAGAGAGAGACAGAGAGAGGCATGCAGGTGGTGGTGTTTCGAGATGCAATACACTCAGCGCATATGACGTTGATTTCTTCAATGCAAATCTATAATTCACACTTGTGTGCACTACTGCCACATGCTCTACTACGTGCATACAATTGGCTTGAGTGTGCTGATTTCCGGACTGTCTCTTCTTCTTCGCGAATGTCTGTGTGACGCTGACGCCTGCAATTACCCGCATTCAATAGCACATCCTACCGTTTTCTTTGCACTTTGTGGCGACGTTTTCGAAGCCAGTCGATTTTCTTGAATTGCAGCTGACAGACTATGCGGGTTAACAGTTTGTATGTATGAGCACGCAACGAGGTATGGCCTTCGTCGTTGTCAGAAAAGAGCGGTGATTAAAGAGAGTGCGCCTCGCCTGCTGACACCATTCAATTGGCATAATCGTTTGTCATATTGTCATAGAAGTAGTGGAAGGTATGGCATTTTTGTTGAATGCAAATCGTGTGTAAGCACATTGAAGCCAAAGATAACGAAAAGATGAGATGCTTATAAAAAATTTTAAAAGAAATCATAACTACGGATAACATGCCGAAGATAGGGAGATTAGCTGTTCAAGACATAAAAAAAAAATTCAAAAATATTGCAAATTTTTGCTCAGTATTTGGCCGAGGCATAACACAAAATGATGGGCATGCCACCTTAGACCGCATTCGAACTACTCGGCAACGGCGTCTGCTGTTTGAGGCATGAAGAACATAGATTCTTAAAGTATGCTGCAACAGTTCTTTGAAACTAAGCCAATCGGATAGAGTTTAGAATTGTTTCTAGTTATGTTCTGCTGATATGTTCAATGCTTTTGTTATATACGGTTTCCTAGTTTGGGGGATAATAGAGCGGATTCTTTAATATTTTTTTTGGGTTGCATTAAGTTCCGCCTTATTTTCCCAGTTTTAAATATCTTTAAGAATCCTTGACCTTGCCAGGGTCAT